GACTCATAAAAGAAAGTTGGTAAGTTAAACTCCTTCAACCTTTTGAAACTTTGCTCTGTGGAAGAAACTAAGAGAATGAGGACAAGCCACAGACTGGGAGGAAATATTTACAAATCACATTTCTGACAAAGAACTTGTGTCTAGAACACATAAAGAACTCTAAAACTCAACAGGAAAGAAACCACCCATTTAAAAATGGGCAAAAGTTTTGAACGGACTCTTCACTAAAAATGGAAAGTAAGAACATGAGAAAAAGCTCACCCTCGTTAATTAATAGGAAAATTCAATTTAAAACCACCATAAGACACTGCTACACACTTATGCATTTGTCTGCATTTTAATCAGACTGAAATTTTCTTGAATATACCATACACCACTCTGCCTATCTTTTGACCTTGCCACATTAATCTAGGGTCTTTTTCCTTCACTCCCTTCGCCTGCCGATTCCTACTGATCCTTTAAGACTCAATCAATTTAGGCACCATTAATTCTAAGAAGTTTGTCCTTTGACCCACCCTCGCTCCCCACAACTGGATCTGAATTTGTGGCCCTTGTAATATGTGATGATGGGCCCTCCGTTTTACCTATCACCTCATCTGTCAAATATAAAGTGCTCACTTCTTTAATTAGAGGTTTTAGTGCTCTTGACTCTGATCTCCATGAAGTCAGACTCTGTCTTCTTCAGGGTTATATTAAAAAATATTGTTGAATGAGTAGATAAATTCATGTGAATAAAGTCCTATGCTCTTTCATGTAACCTCAGTCTGTGTTTGACCCACCCTTGATCCCAAACCCCCTAAGGTTTTCATACCTGCCAAGATAGTCACTGCCATTCCCTAGTCATTTGCTAATTAAAATCCTTTCTCCTTCATAAGAGGAAGGCCTGGTTTCTCTAGGTAGCTTGTTCAGCTGACCAAAGTTGGACACCCTGGCCTCTGAATTACTATCCTCAGCCTTAGGTGTCCTCAGATGATAATTTTGTATCATGGCTACAATTGGTCTTATGGAGACAATGTCAGACATGACAGCATGAACACAGTTCCAGCTGCTTGGTATTTCACTATAAGACATTCACTTCTGACATTATGATGGAGGTCTTTTCCTAAAGGTGACCCCTTGGTTAGTTCAAGCCACTAGATTTCTCAGCATTGTAGGTGCCACTTACAAAGGATGATGTCTGCCTGTCTTTATCTGCATATGGCCTGAGATGAGCATGCATGCCAGTCCCTCCCTGAGTTACAAAAGTTGAAAACACAAGGTTACATCGCAATGATGATAACACTCAGTGTTTGAATATGCTTCTCAAAATGTGTCATCATCTTATGCCCTTATGTAAGATTAGTATCGTTGGGGGCACTGGGACTGTGACTTGATTTTATGGTACTTATAACACTGTTTGGAGTACATTAGAAGCTTCATTAATGTGATTCACAAATGGATGGCTTTAAAATTTATGACAAGTCTTTTTATTTCTCCACCAAATATGCCTCGCTTTAAGGTTCAGGTAGACAACGTCAGTTAATTCTAGATTTGAGGTCTTCTGCTGTCCATGAGACCTTAAAGCAATTATAGAACCCATGTAGTCTTGCTTTTCTTCTCTGTAAAACAGGATGATGTTACCCAGGCTGCAGTGGGGACTGTGAGGAATAAACACGACAGTGTGAGTGTGGAGAATACAGAAGACAGTAAGTGTGAGTGAGTGTGTGTGCTGCCATTGCCCCCAACATGGAGAAGCTGCTTTATAGTTTATCTACTCAACATGTTAAAATGTGAAAGTTTGTGTACTTCTGCTTTCTTATCTTTTGCCTTTAGTATAAAAAAGGAAACTCTCCAGAGGAAAATAAAGCACAGTTCAGGATTGTTGCTTCAATAACCTTATGAAAGATGTTGACTTGTCCAAGTTATCTCCATGACAGAGAGAACAGAAAGAAGTATCTCTGAGCCAGGTTGAGTCTGCATCACTGAAAATAAAGAGGTGAACATCTTGACAATTAATTGAAGTAAAGAATTTTCTTTATTGTGGTTTGGTGATACTGTGCTAATTTAGAAACCGTGGATGCTGGTTTATGGCAGAGTTTTTTTGTTCAAGTCTCTGGTCGCAGACTCCACATGGTTGATGTTGCTATTTACTGCTGCAGCCTGCTTTTAGTCTATTCTTGGAGGGTCTTTTTCACATGGGAGGTGATACTGATCCGAGTACAAAATCTGGAGAAACATGTGGCCAATTTTCTGTGTGGATCCTTAGCTGAGGTTTGAAAAGGTATAGCTTTGAGCTTATCTGACTAGGACATCTAACAGTGTGAGGCAAGAAAGTGTCTGTCAGGAAAAGGGGAGTCCTGGGCACCCCTAGCCCCAGTGGAATGAGGGTAGGGAAGGGCTGATGAGCTGTGCCTTCTTGGAGAAAGGAGAACTGGTGAAGCTGCCTCCACGTCTTCCCAGGTTTCCACTTCTGAAAACTTCTGGTTGTGAGAGAGAAATCAAGAGCTGGGTCAGTGAGAGGAGAGTCATTGAGAAGCATCCCATCCTACAGTGTTGGGAGAGAAGACTTGGTTTAGAGAAGTCTGTGCACTGACTTCAATGAGGAGTCCTGGGGTCAGGGCCAGCCCTTTGTTTGTTCTAGAGGAAGACTGAGTTTGGGGTATGGGAAAGAAGATTTCTCCTGGTGTGTAAAATGTCTCATGTAGGGGATGCTGGGCAGGAGAATGGGAATAAATAAATAAGCATTCTGAAGAATGCAGTTAGTTCATGGAATTACAGATGATGCAGATTATGTGCTCAAAACCACTGCATCTTATGTGAATACCTCGGGCCAGATCCTGACCAAATGCACATAGATCTACACACATGGAGCTGCCAGCAGCCAACAGCAACTAACATTTCAGTTCTCTATGCATCTTGGTTGGCTGTACAAGGAGGGGTTTCTTCTTTGCTTCCTTCCAGTTCTAGCATCCTGACACTGCGTGCAGTTTAGTATAAAACCCTGTTTGAAAGCTAGTCTTGCCCAACAATAGATTTTCGGGGGGGGGAGGGAGAGCATTTCCACCCTTTGCATTTGTAATTACAATGTTTGTTTTGTGTGTTCGTGGTGCAGACACAGGATGGTGCCCAGACATGTGTGAGTGTTCCTAACTGTGTATACGGTAGGTGGGGAAAGTGTGTAAGCCAGAGGCCAAGAACACCTGTCATAGGGTACCTGCTAGGGTGTCTCTACCAGATCCTTTCTGAACATACTGTTTGCACAGACACAAAAGGGCCAGTGAGCCGGGGCTGGTGCTGGATATGCCCAGTACGCCTGCTGGGTGTAGGAAGGATGGGGCCGGCGGTAACAAGAATCAATATATATTTACGGCGGGGGCGGGGGCGGGGGGTGCGCGGAGGCTGCAGGGCGGGGCAGCGCTAATGAGAGCAAGCCCGGCTTGTGGTTGGTTCGGGAAGTCTGGTACCCACAGAGGAGCAGGCAGGGAGGGAGGGGATGCGGGCGGGAGGATAAAGCGATGAAGTGTGCTGCGTTGCCGCGCACCAGGCGCCGTTGTGGGAGCCAGAATACCGTGCGTCTCTGACCGAGCCGGCCCAGTCCTCGCGCGTACACTCCCCGAGCAGCGCGCGCCTCTCGCCGTGGCCCTGGCGGTGGCTGCCGCTCGCCGCGAGCCCCCGGAGCGCTGCGAGAGCGGGTGGGCGCCCGGGTCCCCCGGCAGGTGCCCGGCGCGCCATGCAGGGCACGTGCGCCCCCCGGCTCTAACCTGCGCGCTGACTGGAGCATGATCTGTGTCCAGGCCGGGGCTGCCAAGGTAAGCGAGCGCCGTGCGGGGACTCTGCCTGCCGCCCCTTCCCCCGCCCTTCTCTGGGCGGCTTCCCCGCCGCTCCCGAGGCCCCTGCAGCGCCCTCCCTCCCCTGGGCCCGGGATCCACCCTCCTCCCCACCCTCTCGCTTCTCCCGCGAGGTTCAATTGTCAGCCTGGGACGTGCCGCCGCCAGGGCCGGGCAGGCAGCCCGGGTGGCGACCCCGGCTCGGGTACAGCAGGCACACCGGGCCCTCCTGCGGGGCACCGAGAGAAACAAAGAAGCCCCCAAACGGGTTCGTGGCGCCTCCCCCGCCCCCCCCCGGCGCCCTCCCAGTGGCGAGGAGGTGTCAGGGGAGGGGGCGGAGAGACCTACGTAATCCCCCTTCCCAGCCCACACCCACCCCTTGTGAACCAAGGCTCTGGATTTGGGTTTTGCCTTGGGCTGCCTTTTCGACAATTGCGTCCCATGCAATGCCATGGTTAGCCGAGCGAGCCCACAGCCCCGCGCGAGCTCGCTAGTGCTCTCAGGGGGCGCGTGGCAGGTCGGGGCCATGCTCCCCTGGGTGGTGGCAGGCTGGGAGGATGCGCGGTGTGGGTGCTTCTCCCAGCACCTCCCTGTCCCCGGCCAGCTGCACCGCTCAGCCGGGCCTGCCACCTGAGTTTTAGCGGGAGCAGCCCGTCCTGTCGCCTACCGTATTGCGACCTGCACGCAGGCGGGGAGGGAGTCGCTGGGAAAAACGCGTCCGGTCCATTTTTAGCTGGAGGTGCGCTTCCTTCTACCCCTACATTCCCGGGCCGTGACAATGCAGCAAAATCCGAGGGCTCCGACAATGTGGCCCCTCCATCCCCCGCTCCGCCAGTGCCTTGTGATTGCTCTGCCGTGTTGACGTCCCGGCCACTTGGCGGATTTGCCGAGTGTGGGTGCGTGGTCTGTCTCTCTGTCTTGCACACAGAGACCATAACTTCCCTGCCCAATTTGAGCGCGTGTGTGTGTGGGGGGGGGGGGCGCTGGCAGGGACACAGGCTGCAGAGATGCCCGGCTTCCTGTAGTTCCGGGCACAGAGCGCCCCAGTCTGCATTGAGCTGACACCGGATAGCATGTGGGGATTTTCCTAGTTGCTGAAGATATTTGACGTTGCTATAGTTTTGTGCTTACTTCTCTTGGGATCTGCAGTGGTGCAATTCTCCCCTTGTTTTTATTTTTTTCTCTTTGTAAAGATAACAAGGCTGTGTTCAGCAGAAATGGATACAGGAGGAACAGCATAGTTCAAAGACTAAGGGAGGCATCTTCTCTCTTTTCCTGGGATTTAAACGCGATTTAGGAGGGCAGATGCCCTACCTGAAAAGGCCAGACCTTAAAGACCCAGGCAGTGTCGTGGTCCAAGGCGTCTCAAAAGAGGTGGCCAGATCTGCGTTTCTCATCAGCGGACTCGCTCCGGCTTTGGCTATTACGGTAATTCGTTCTAGATCGGGGATTCATTTTGAAAATGTGTGTTTTCCACTAAGAAGGGATTAGAGTCCAAATGCCTACCCTGGTATGAATGTGTGTGCCTGCTTGGTGGAGCAAAAGAGTGTGGCAGAATTCCCTGTTGCCCCTTCCCTCTGTTTGCAGCCTCCTCTGGAATGTGGCATTGGAAAAAACGTAGCACTATTTTAGTTCCTAGACCTACAGGCAAATGGAACTTTAGAGTGTTTCATTTAATAAACCATGTTCTGACTAATTCTGGAATCCCAGTCTCGGGCAGCTTAGCAGCTTTGTGGAATGACAGTTCGTTTTGTCTCAGGTAGTTATTTCACGAAGGCAAATTGCCTAAGTTTGTTTAGATAGTGACATTATTGACTTGGTAGGGAGACCACATTCTGAGCTGGAACAGCCTATTCATGCATCAGTACAGAGGGACTGCAGCTCCTGTGATTTGTGTGCCTGTACCATCATTTGCTTCCCTTCGCACTTCTGGCTTTTAAAGACGGATGTTTTAAAAGATCATTTAAGCTTTACTTTCTGTGATGCTTGCATCAGATATGATTATCAATATAGGAAGTACTAAGAAAACAGATGTGATTATGGAAGGACAAGCCTCTGCCATCTCCCCTCCTTATCAGTAAAGTGAGGAAGTTGGACTGGCTGATTTCCATGGTTCCTTCCAGTTCTAGGATTGTGTGATAATGGTAGAGGAGTAAGAAAAGTTACCCAGTTTAGTAAGGCCAATAATTCTAGTCCAAATTATGCAAGCAAACCAGGGACAGATTATAGAATTTGTGGTTTATTTTTACACCTTGCAATTTGTTTTAACCCCAGTATCTGCATTTTCCTCTAAATGAAAATAGCCAATGACTCAAACAGGTCAAATTTTTTTGTTTGTTTTTGCTCACTAGAGCAAAAGATTTGGTACGGTCTGGGGTACCTAGGAGAATATTTGGTAACAGATTTCCTCCTTATTTGTGGATTAGTTATTTATTACAGCCCCATCTTTTGTAGATAATCGACAATATAGCTTATTTCCAATGATTGATTTTTTTGTTTTGTTTTTAAAGAAAGACTCTAAGTGGCTGTTTCATCGGCAATTGGCAACAGCGTCTGACTTACTTTCCCTGATAGAATTTGCTATTGTTCACAAAACTTGCTAGCACTGATGATGCTTATTATATAAATGAGGCGACAATTACTTGAAACAGGCAAGCAAAGCATTTTCGTGTGCTTGTAGTAATTTTTACAGTTTAGGAATGGTTGGGGTATTTGATCATTGATTTGTGCTTACCTACTCAATTTTCCACTGTAGTGTGCTCATTTGTCTTAAAGTTACAATTAAAATAACATCCTCGACTAAGGCTACCTGCCAGGCACAATGAAGCACTCCCTCTCTTGTTTCCATAGCCTTCTCCTTCATACCGCTCAGGCAGCTCTTACCATATTGCAGTTACGTGAGGTGTGAAGAAAGGGCCACAACCCCCTTGTCTTGAACGTGCTACGAGCACGTTGAGGACAAGGACATTGTTCAATTCATCTCTCATCTCTCCAGCACATTGCACTTTGCCCGGGACAGGGGTATGTTCTCAGGAATGTTGATTGAGTGCATTTCAGGTCATAGAAATGCCCTCTACCCATTTAGGCCAGAGGTAGGTGGGAATTCTTCCCTTCGTGAGTCAGATGGGCAGATCAGAGGGGTTATGTAAGCCTCTGAGGGAACAGGTGAGCCAGGACTCAAATCCAGGCCCCAGAGAAAGGTTCCCCCGACTCTCAGTGAGAAATCAGGTAGGTGCAAGTCCAGATACTGCACGCTTGGGTTCTTTCTTACTTGAAAAACCTGGATTATCCTTTGACAAAATTGATCTGATCGCTGCTTGGTTCTGTCTTGCTCTGGCCTTAGAAGGGAATTTATTCAGCCCCAGCACTCCAGCCCGCAATTAGACGGTGAAGGTGAGCCCCCCTTTGCCACTTCCTCTCCAAGGCTGGTTCCACCACCCACAGCTTGCTCGGATGATGATGGACTTGTCTAGGGAATGCCCCTGACTGACAGTCGTTTGTTGGAATCACATTTAACCTCTGTGAGCTGTGCTTCTGAAATGAGCCAGCAGCTAGACCAGAGACAACCATCATTGCTGGGTCAGCCCACCCTGACTGAGTCTCCTCACAGGCGGATTTCTATGCCAACAGGTGTGACTTACAGACAGACCCCTTGCTTCCATTCCATCACCTTCTTAATTTTTCATTCTGAAAAGCAGGAAGGGTTACCATTAGGAAACCAGGAAGTTCAAATCCATGTGCCTTACTGTAAGGCCGCCCTGAGCTTGTTTGCCATTCATGGACTTTTAGAGAAAACAGTGTGGAATGTTCCATGTGGCTTTTTTTCAAGTCACTTTTCCTCTCTGAGGTTTAGTTTCCTCTTCTTTAAAAAGTAGGGAGTTGAACCAGGTAATCCCAAAGGCCATAGGGTTGTTTCTGTTGGTTTATTCAATTGAATTAGAGGGAGAAAAAGATTAGTATTAATTATAATTATATTAATATTTACATTTATTTATAAATTTAACTTTGCAGTGTATATACTAAAAATACTTAAGGCTATGTGTGTTAGCCTCTGGGTTATCTAATAATCATTTTGGGCCCTCTGTTAACAATATTGTTGTAAGTAGCTATAACAGTTCTCTCTCTTGTTTGTAAAATTAGATTTATTGTATTAAAGGAAATGATCTGTGGCATTTCTGTTCCTAGTGAGGGGGGGCAGTGGTGAAAAAGTGGACGATCCCCAACTCCTGTATAAAACGTTTGTAAATTTATGGTTTGATAGTCAGTGTTCCAGGACCTGTAGTAAAATGTTTTTATTCTCACCATGGAGTGTGTTTCACAGTTGAGTAATCCTGGTGGTCAGAAGTGTTCCCTGGGATTCATCTAACAATGTTCCCATTTCCTTCTGGTCCCTCATTTTGCTCTTATTTATCTACTTATTTACTTACTGTTTTGTGTTTCTGCCCCTTTTTGGGCTTGGCCGACCTCCTGTCCCAGCTATAACACATACGGGGCTGGTAACACTGCCCATCCACCCTTACCCTGCCCCACTAGATGCAGGAGTCAGAGCCTCATAACCTTCCACCTGTCTGAACCCTTTCTACCTTCTTCATAACCGGTACTTCTCAAGGTAAGATACAATGAGGCTTAGAGGCAGACCAGCTCATCTGATGATTTTGTTGGACGTGAACATGGACTTTCTGACCACTGGGTATTTGTCTTTAAAGCCTCCTTAAAACACTTTAGGAAAAAAAGCAGTAGATAGGTGATTTATATGCCCCATACCATAATGTTTGGATGTATGGGTATCTACTGGTAAGTGGTTGTCATGTTCTGTGACATGAGCATGGTAGGGAAAATGATAAGTAGTCTGTGCAGGATGACAATAATGTCACTGTTTATCGGCAAGTATCACAAAGACCACTAAGCCCCCAGGTCACTAGAGAAAAACATCTGGATTTCCATAGCAACAAGTGATGTGCACTGTTCACATTATTAGTTGAGAACCCATGCTCTTCCTGATTGTATTGGCCCAAAGCTTGATGTACACAGAGGATTGATAAATAAAGATATAGTGTACAGACAGGCTCTTCTGGTATTATCCAACATCTATTGCCTTGCAGTATTTTGGGGGAGAATTCAGTGCATGGAACTTAAGCTGGTGTTTGGGGCGGGGGGGGCGCTGGAAAAGGACGCCATCTGTGCCCATAATGACGAATGCCATCATGGAAACTTCACTCGGGGTCCCTTTTATATATTTAGTGGAGCAGATTTTCCCTTTCACACTTTCTAGATCTATTTGTATTGAACAGATGTCAGGGAAATATCATGTGTGTGGAAGGGAAAAAAAGAAGACCAAAATTCACATCCATGGCCAGCGATTGTGATTCAATCACTTTGTCCTTAAATTGACACTCATTTAACTTGCACAAATGTTCCCTGCTTTTGCTTTCGGGGTTTAAGTTGCAGCAGTTTGAGAAACAGAAATCTCAGTCCTGAAATTCAGAGATTCAGGTTAAGGGGAGACTAGGGTTGAGCACATTACACCTTGCTCGCTTGCTGTCAGTAGCGAGCAGAGCTGATGGAACCCGGCAGCCATCCACCGCGGTCCTTCCTGCAACACGCTGACCAGCTGGAAAACCACAGGACATGATCGATAGATTTTTTACCCTTAAAAGGACTTCTCTTTCTTTACTGTTCCCTCTTACAGAACACACCTGGACAAAGTTGTCTACCCTGGCTTTCTTTAGTCTCCCTGTCTAAGCCTGTGAAAACATATTTTATTGTGTAACATTTGATTGAGACTAACAAGATGTTTAACGTATCTGCAAATTATGAGGAAAATAAAACAAATACTGGATGGCCTTGTAGCCTGAGACCAGAATACTGTCAGTTCATTTGCGGTGGTGCCCTGTGTGTTCCTGCTTCATCTCTACTTCCACCTCTCAGAGCACCCAGCCAAGCTCTGGTCCCCACCGTTCCTTCCCACTGTCCCCATGATGGTCACTGGTGGTCTCTACTCATCCAGTACCAGGTCAGCTCTCCATCTGAGTGCTGCTGATCACGCACTGGGGTCCACTTTCTCTGCCTTGAGCCCTTTGCTTCCAGGACACCAGATTGTCCCGGCTTCCAGCTCTATCCCTGGATCGCTTTGTTAGGCTCTCTTGATGGCCCCTGACTTTTTATCCCCACATGATGGAATCCTTTAGCCCCTACACGATGGCTTGGCTCTCACATCTCTTCTTACCTTATATTCCTGCCTTTGGTCTCAATACCACTTTCATGCCGATGATCTCAAGCGTATCTCAGTGGTCCTGACTCACTCCTAGAATGCCACCACCAGCATCTCCCCGAATGCCATGCAATCTGAAATTTATATATGCAAAACACAGCCCCCAATTTTCACTCCTCAAAGCTGCTTCCCCTTCAGAGTTCTCCATCTGTGTAAA